CATCAATGTAAAGTACCTTAGGTTCTTTTTACATTACATTAAATTACAGCTGAAATTTTCCATAAAGGCATGCTTTAAGACAAATAAGCTACTCTACTATGAAAAAGAGAAAAACATTGGTAAAGAGCATAAATTGAAACTATTTTGATATAGCTTCTTGTAAACAAACAACAGTTGCATGCTTCCCACAATCCTTTACTTTCTATCTTTGACCATATATACATTATAAGCATTACACATTGACTTTTAACAGTGAAGAGAACAATAGCACAGATCAGTATGTATCCTGAAATACCACTGCTCAGAGCTGCTTTGAAACCCATACAACAGAAAATCTTGCATAAGAGCAGCATTTGAAGGATACAAGGTGAGTCTGAATTCCTTACAGCATTACTTACAGCGAGTTATAATACTCTCATATGAAGACCCTTTTGATTTCATATACACAGGCAGATATTGCCTGTAAATTGTTTGTCAAGAGGAGCTATTTAGTTATAACTCCCTCACATCTGTGTAGCTACCTACTTGTACACTTACCTCTTACTTGAGCACTTAGCAAAAATGGGGTGTTTTGTATAAACAGTGTGCTATGCATATACATAAAAGCCTTCAAGAACGTGGCCTCCTCATCAGTAAGTATTTTTATCAGAAAAAGCAGGGATTATTTCTACAGCAGGTTAACAAAGTTTTTTCTGCAAGCATTTTGTAATAAAGTTGGAGTGGAAAGAATAGTGCTAAAAATGGAAATAAAAAACTTTAATATGCAACTATCTCCAGCAAACATATCTTGCTTTGAAAATCCCTACAATCTAGAAGTACAAAGCAACTTTAATCATGATCCAATCAAAGCTTCACACCAGTGAACTACTAAAACTATTTTATTAGCTAGATTCCTGAGGTAATTAGCAATTTGGTATGACCTGAAATTTTAAAATTTTAAGCTATATTTAGTGAGTCCTTAAAGTCCTTAATAATTAGGACTTAAAAACAAAAGTGAGAAATTGTGATAGAAAAGATTATATGAGAGATAATTTGTAAGACTGGTACTCAGGATATTAATTATTCTTCATTCATTAATTTGATATTGTCCTTAACAAATGAATAAAACCACTTTATATTACTGCATTCGGATTCTGAGTCAGAGTATGGGAGCTAAGAAGGTAAATTTCCATTTTATCCTTTTAACTGGAAAACAAGCCTTAACTTATATTTCTCAGTGAAACTTAACATTTAAAACATTCCTCTTTTGAGTTTACAGCCATGTGATTACAAAATCCACAATGACAAAAAAAATAGTGCATTGCCCAAGAAATAATTTGTTATCCTTTTCAGTATCTTTTATCTGAAAAACAGCCACGGCTAATCCCAACAGAAATATCCCCTGGGATGGGGAGTGCATCCACTGGGCAAGGCATATATGGACACTTTCTTTTTTGTATCTCAAATGCCTTTAAATGGGAAAAAAGTTCCAAACTTCTCAGCTAAAGCAGTGCACAGAGCACTTCTGTATGCTCTACAGCACAGCTTTGAGCTCAAAATCACAGCTGCCCATAAAGTCCAGACATTGCATTTGTGTAGGATTATCTTAGTCTCTCTTTGCTGTCTTCCATCCTGGCTGCCATCTCCTAAACTGCATCACTCAGGTTCTCACCCTGTGCCATCCAAAATCTGAGGTTACCTCCAAAAGTTGCTGTGAGACAGCTGATGTCAGAAGTGACAACAATGCAAGACAGATCCATGCCAGCCAAGTGCCTGCTCTCCATCTCCACCCCGGTTACACAGCACTGCTTCAAAGGCGTCTTTAGGCAGAGAATTAAAGGCAGTGAAGCTTTTCTAAAGGAGCATTTACAGGCCTACAGCTATACCTCTACTGGAACACTCTCCTGAGCAAATCCCACAAGACACTAAAGCTGCAACATAAACATCACTGGTTTTAAAACTAAATAAACACTGCAAATCATTGTGAAAGCTGATTAAGGAAAGTAAAAACACGTGATGAGGGCTACTAATGATCACCATTAAAGAGCAGTAAAAGAAATAGAGTGCTCAGCAGCAAAGTTTTCTTTAACCATCTGGTAACTTACAAAGTCAATATAAAACTAGAGTTTTCAGATATTCCCAAGATTTCTAGGGTTTCAATTCTAAAGAAGAAAGCTTCTTTAGTGAAACCTTAATGAATTCCTGAGGAATAAATTAAAATAAAAGCTATCTACGGATTGCATAAGAAAGCAATAAATCTTCTGTTCTTTAAAGTTATCAGTGTAGCTACTGCTACTTTTCTAAATCAAAATGAGCACACGCAAAAGCAGCAGTTCTTGGCACCCTCTGAAGCTGAATAACCCAACTATGAAAGTCAACAGCAAGACTTTCATGAACACTATTCTGTCATGTCCTTCCTGATACACATTTGTGACTGGAATAATTCTGTTGACACAAATCTGAATTAATGAATGAACCAAATGGGAACAAAGCACAAGCCAAAACCAATCTCTCTCACACACACACAACCTGTTCAGTCATAGCCCTTTAATATCTATCCTCTACCATCATGAAAGAACAGGCCTTTTTTATGCATAGCAGAGGAAACAGAAAGTAAAAATAATGCTCAGCCTATAATTCCTACAGAGGCAGATATGTGTAGGAGAGAGAGTGCAAGGAAATGGTAGCAAAAATCATAATAGTCCCATGGATTTTTTTGTTTTAAATCCTTTTTCCTCCAGTGCAATGAGTTTATTATAAAAATGAACAAGAATGCAAGCCCTGAATTAGAGAAGCCATCAGCAATGAGGACAGTATTAAGAGTCAAAACCTGCATGAAGAGGTTGTGAAGCAATATCCGAAAATTCTAAGGGGGGGGAAGAAAAAATACCTAAGCCAAAATAAAGCAGCTGCATAGCAGCAGATGACTAGTGCAGGTTACAGTAATAACTTGCAGTGGTCTCAAGGACCTGCTCTCACTGGCAAATATCCACTGCACACTGGCCTGTCAGGCCTTGGACAACGTGCACACACATAGAAAACTTAATAATTAAAATAAAGCATATGCCTTCCCACATTTTATTCCAAAATCTGTCTGTAACTCCAACTTCTCTAATTATTTATAGGTCAAAACATAAGACACTCAATAGGTTTTCTTAGACTTCATCCTCATAAGAGTGATACAATACTGTCATTTTGCTGCATTATCCATTTAGCTCTGATAATGAGGAGGACACAACCCAGTATCATTTAATTCTATGAAGAAACATGATATTACAATTAGCTTCAAAATGTGCAAAATAATTCAAACAAGCTACCTTAAGTCTAGCACTTTCTTTTCTTCATCTTGACTAAAGAATAGGGTTTTTTTTTTTATTTTGGTCAATAATCTGAACACTGACTGTAACCTAATGCAAAAAAAATCCTGATGGAACTCAGGTACTGAAGCTATATTTTTAAATTTTATATAAGTCTTTAAAAAGTTCAAAGGTATTAAAAATGTACAGACTGTATACCTTTTATAAACCTTTAAGCATTTTAAGAGGCTGTTCACTACTGTTAAAAAAACCTGCAATGCTGCCTTCTGTAGATTTTTCTCAAAAAATAAGCTAGAAAGGTACTATAAAATATTTTGCATGCAAAAGAAAACAAGATTCTGAGACAGAAAAAAACACATGATGAGGTGATATTGAAAGATTTAATTTACAGCCCTAAGAGAGCTCAGTAAGATTTCTCAGTGTGTTCAGTGAGCATATTAAAAAAACAGCAGCTAAGACATTTTGAAATGCTACATTGGAATGCATTTGTTTTAAGCAGAGCTCAAACCACATGTGTTTGAGACTACTAATGGAATTTTTCATTATAGTTCTTCTGAATGCAGCCCAATTCAATTTCAGTACATGCTTAAATTTAGGCACATAAATGCTCCTTTTGACTTCAAAATATGGATTCATGAACTGCTTTCTGATTGCAGAATTATGTGGTTTTTTGAGAAGTTAAAAATGCTGTTCTCCAAAGGTATTAAATAGCAACATTTACTCTCATTCACACTAAAAAATATACATAAGAGAAATATCAACCTACACCATGGTGAATTAGCAACATATGGATTGGGATGCATTTTTAAAATGAATTGTTACTGACATAATTCCTGGGAAATACAGCTGTGGTTGCTACTTTACCCACTTTCTCATTAATAGGGGACACATGAAAATTGATCATCACTACCTAAAGACAATGATGCAGAGCTACTGTGGAAAATGACCAGTCTGGCTAAGTTTAGTTTTTCTTAGTTTGGAGCAATGCTTGTGAAAACCAGAAAAAGTCTCCTCAGTGCTCCTACCTAGCCCACTCTCTCCCTTTTTCTCCACCCTACCTCCTCAAGTGCAAACAATCTCAAACTTCTGCTTGGCAGTTCAGCAAAACAACAGACAAACACAGAGACAGACCTAATCCACACACAGAAGAGTAGGGAAGCTTCTCAGGTTTGCACTCCCCAGTGAAGCTCATTAAGGAAGTGCTTCTCAGTAACTACTTCTGGATTTCTTGATGGCAGTACAAAAATATAATCAAAATACTCTAATCCCCCACTTTCCGAAAGTTTGTATCATCTAGACACGTTTCAACAGGTGTCGATATGAACTTCAGGAAAGAGAGTACTACTAAAGTTCATAATAAACAGATCTTCTGAACAAGAGAGGTAATTAAAATTTAAAGACAAAATATAAAAAATTAAATATACAAATTATCAGGTAATTATCTAATTTTATAGTGATTATATTATACTAGAGAACCCAAGATAAATATCACTGCTGAGATATGCAGAACCATATACACAGCACAACACAAACTAGTACTATAAAACCAGAAAATATTGTTTTTAAAAGCATTTACTAAATACTAGTATTCCCTTATTTTTGTTGGACAATGATATAGCCAGGGTTAAACAAAATTGTGGGGAAAACAGTAATAGCCATTTACAGTTCAAGAAAAAATAAACTGCTAAGCAGACTGTCTCATACCTGTTGTACTATTGTTGTTAGTTCCAGACAGAGTTGTATGACATTATTTCTTGTTACTGAGTAATCTGTGACAGCAGCAAATGGTGATCTAAAAATAAAAGAAAAAAAAAGAAAAAAGTTGAATAGCACTAGAATATACCCACTTGCAGTTTTTAAGTTCCTCTTTCAGAAATTCCATTTATAAAAGCATTATTTCTAACAGTTTACTTCTGGACTGCCTTTACTCTCCCAGAAGAATCCCAGCTGGCCTTCTGCATTGGTTTGGGAATACCCTTATAAAGACAGCCAGAGGAACTACTTCCTCCTGTGATATGAATGGTGTCCAGATGTGAATGAGATAAGCTTTTGACTGATTCACTGGGTTTCCTGGGATTTGATCTAATATCTGGTGGAAGTAGTAGAGGGACTCGGAATAAGCAGAATCTTTATCTAGAGGGGGAAACAGCATTTAAAGGCAGAGATACATCAATGCTGAGAAGTGGCTGCAAAGCCTAAACTGGAAGCACAACCCAACATGCCCACACACGGTGCTACAGTCAGAACTGCTCAGTGAAATAAACAGTGTAACCAACATTCACAGACCTTATCTACATGTGTCCTACACTTTAAAAACCTCACATTAGGATGTTTAAAATGCTTGCCTACCTGGGAGATTGCTTGCTTGCTAGAAGCACTGCTAAAATGTATTTGTTTAGTGAAGCTGGCAGTCATCTGATTTGTGTACTATAAGCCTCTCAATCTATAAATTCATATATATGACCTATATTCTTTATTCAAGTTTTAGCCAAACACTAGGCAGGACTGTTATTTTCTGTAAGAGAAGTCAAGAGCTTGACTTTCTCAGTGCTACAAATGAGGATTTATGGTCATTATTAGCATTACAAAGATGTCCCTTCGGGACATTAGGGCATTTGTCCCTAATATACCTGCTTCAAACATTTAAAACAAACGAAAACCAGGTGTTAGTGTGGTTGTCTTTAAATTAGGATGGGTGACTAATCCCTTCCCCAACTGGCTTCTTTCATCACTTCACACACAGCTGCATATACCTTGAAGAGTTTTACAGCATTGCTTGGTATTATGCTTTCCTTATTTAAGCCTCAAGATATTTCCAGTACAAAGAACTTTACTATAAGCAACTTCAAGTGATAGCTGTAAATACTCTGGTTCTACTGGTACTAACAGGTTTCTAAATTACAGTAATTCTAAACACAGAATTACTGACATCTTAATGGAAGCAGGTTTGGAATTGTCCATTAATAACCCCATGTGAACTCCCCTATCTCTGATGGTTTAATCTCATGGTCTCTTTCTTCTCCAGGGCTCTCAATCCAGCCCTGATGGTTCATAAGACAGAATTAACTCTGAGGTGCATAATTAAGTCTACCAGCTCTAATTTTATATAATACATCACACAATGCTATACACTTTCCGCCTTTATTTTCCAGAGAGAAAAGCAGTACATTCTTTTGAAATGAAAGTACAAACATTGAAAGCTAAAGTAAGTTCCAAAAGGCGCCTTCTGAAAGTTACTGGGCATAGACAGACACTCACAATTCAGAGTCCAAGTTTTCTGCAGCAGGTGACAACCATACAGCAGATACACACTAGAGCAGCCCAACCCACTGGCACACCCAGAGATTATTTCTGAAGTTTAGGAGATACATGAGCATATTAAAGGACGAAAGGTAACTGAACTGCTTGGTTATGAACCATAACTGAGTTCAAGAAGTATTTGTTTTCAGGCACATGTCATTCTTGGGGTGTCCTGTGCAGGGCCAGGAGCTGGACTCAATGATTGTGATGGGTCCCTTCTAACTCAGGGTACTCTGTGATTCTGTGATAATTATGTTTAAAGAACTACATGTCAAGATGTACAAAACCACTGGTTTTTCCTTCCATAATTGTAACTGTCGAGGTTCTGAAATCTACCTGAAACCTTGATTTAAAAAGGTCATGTTTATTCAGGAACTTTCTTTTATTGAAGATGAATGAAATCAAACCAGCAAATGGTATTATTTTACTTTAAGTATGGGTGCTAATATAATTTCATCCTGAAATTACACAACTGGAATCTATTTGACATTTCACAGCCTCAAGCATTCCTCTAAACAAAATCACACAGTAGGCTTTGGCTTCTAATACCACATCATCTTCCCTCATACTTTTGTAATTTAGTTTGGTTTCACGGTTCATGAGGAAAATAATGGTATTTTTTACCATAATTACTCTTAGTGAAGATCATTAGAAATGCCCCAAATAAACTGTGTTGACTGTAAAGAACAGGCAAAGGGACTGAGACATTACTCATTTTAGTTACATTCAAGTTATCACAGTGAAGACTTACTGGCAACAGCATGTCAAGCAGGCAGCAAGAGTGCCAGCAGGAAAGAAAAGACTACTACAAATCAACAACTAAGAACTAAGGTTTTGAGTAGTGCTTCACAACTTACAAAGATAAGGAGACAGGTCCATGCATATAAACTCTGCTTCTGCAGAAAATCTACAGGATCCTCCAATTGCCTCCTCTGCAGGTCTCTGTAGCTTTTAAACCAACTTTCTTGTATCAATTTCTGCAGATGCCTCTCTGGGGTACTGCTGCAAACTGGACCAGTAAAACTGCAATTCCCTTTTCTCTCCCTTCCCAGTTCAGCCCACATCCCTGGAGGCAATCTGCATGAACAATTTACACAGCCACTACTACATAAGCACCTGGATAAATAGTAAGGGCTTCTCTAAGTATTTGCCTCCAAAGGAAATGCATTTTGGTATTCCATCTGAAGCCTCAACTTCAGTAGACAAAGTCCAGCAAGACTTAGTGTAACAGCATGCCAGCAGTTTCAATCAAAGCAGCAGCAGAAACTTCACTGTAGGATCACTGACTGGATTTCACAGGAGACACCATGTAAAATACCAATCTGACAAAAAAATCTCTTCATTGGTAATATACCCACTGTCTATAATTTGAGTACAGCACAATATTTTTACTGTGAATAGATGAATCAACTTGTATAAAAGCAAATGAAGCCTATATATACTTTAGCTTCAGGTGGCTGCTGAAACACTTTCCTCCTCAAGACGTGTGCCAAGTATAAGAAACTCCCTGTTTAATTAGACAACTCTCCACTTAAAAAAAAAAAATCTCCTTGGCTTGGCAGTGATTTCTATCACCTTGCAATTTCTAGGCTTTTCTTTCAAAACCACATTTTTCACAGTCCCTTGGACTCCAGGTCAGAGGTACATCATACAGCTCCAGTGAAGAAAATTCCCTAAGAAAAAGATTTCAATTTGCAACATATATACTGTCCAATTCGGTGTTTTTAAAGTTAAACAAGAACTAAAGAACTACCTTGGACTGGAGCCACATCTTGCCCCCACTCCTGCTGTAAGATTGATCTCAACATCTCATTGTCTCACCTTTCACAGTCATTTCCAAGGTATTTCCAATACACATGTCCCTCTTTGTGGAACATTTTTTTACTGTTTCTCTTGTAATTTGTTTGCTCTTCCTTCAAAATTGTGATTTGCTTTGCAACACCCACATGAAAATACCTTTGTAGCTCTACAGCACCCTTACCTGACCATGTGCCCTTTCCACTCATTTCCTCTTCCAAACCTCTTCTGGTTTCCCCTTTTCATTATCTGTCTAAGCCTTCTACACCTGGCATCTTAAGGAAAATAAATTTACACAATCACATGAATGCTTTTGCAAACACATGCAGGGTGGTTTTGCCTTTAGTCTCACATTTTCTCCATCCTTCTCCTTTCCAACACTTAAAGCTATTAGTCATTTTCAAACCACTTTCACAAATGAGTGGGTAATAGGTTTCAAGGATAATTAAGTTCATAGATGCTTTGTGATCATGAATATAGCTGGAAAAGTGGGAACCTCTAAATTTTTCCACTGTGCAAACCCACACTGTGAACCTTTACCTTATGAGACACGAGGGCAAGATGAAGAACTTCAAAACACCTCATCCACACAGAAAAAACATTGGTGCTTACTTTTTTTTTTTTTAAAAACACCGAAGTCAATCAACTTCAATACTCTGATCTATATGACATAAGGTTTTCCTAAGACAAGGTATGAAAGAGGTACTGGTTCTTTTCACACTTTTTTAAACAAGTGTTTGACATAAATAATCTAACACTTCTGAAATGTGAATTTGTTTAGACACATGTAACATAGGCTGCAACGCACATGCATGTGTGTACACTTTTATGAATTGAGACCTAACTAGCATTTTTAGCAGTATCAGCATCTTTCAGAACAAAAAAATAAAAAATTACCAAATATTCAGTCATGAAACCACGCTGAAGGACCGATAGAAAAACCAGCTACATTAATATAGCACAGCTAATTCCATTACACAATTAAGAAACAATACAATTCAACAGCTATTAATAGTCACAACTACTGATTGCACATGAAGAAAAATCCTTCAAAAACAATTAAAAATTTGTGAAGGAGATGCATGCCTTCAGTATTTCTATATTATCAACTTTTTTGTCCTCACACACTTTAGCATCCTCATCTGTCTTCTTCATATAACATTAAGGGAAAATTATATATATAAACAACAATTTCACTTGAAAAAGTTGCAATGTGGACAAATACAGACTGCTGTCAGCAAAAGCATAACCCAAACCAAAAGTTAATCACATTTCACCATTAGTTGTCATAATGAGTTATTTTATAATAATAGCTATTATGAGCAGTTTAAAACCAGTATCATACTTATTTTAGCATCCAAACAAGAGAAAACAGGCTCAGAGCCTTTTGATTAAACATAATAGTCCAAAATATTTCAAAGAGAGAGGCAATCAAAGCAGTAATATAACTCAGTCTTCAAAGGCAACATATTAAGGTTAAATAAAAATCTGAATGCACAATACTGTTGTATTTACACTGTGCCTAAGCCATCTAAGAGTCATAGTTTTAGGCTTTCATGAAACAAACACTTCATTTCTATTTCTAATGGAACTGCCTTATGTAAAATCAGGGAAGAATGCAGTAAAATTCACACTGGATAAAGGAACTCTTTAAATGAGTGCTCTATTAAACATTTACAGCTGTTCCAGGAGCAC